CATTAACAGTTTCCACCACACAGGGATTCTAGAATTACCATATGTACCTGAAATTCCACTCCTAAATATCCACCCAAAGAATTGAAAACAGGATCTCAAGCAAGTACATGGACACACATGTTCATAGCAGCACTGTTCACAGTAGCCAAAAGATAAAAACAGACCAAATGTACATTAACAGGTAAATGAATAAACAAATAGTCATACATCCATACAATGGAATATTATTCAGCCATAAAAATACATGAGGTTCTGATATATACTACAATATGGATGAACCTCCAAGACATTATGCTATGAAAGAACAAAAATGCAAAAAACCAAACTCACTGCCATCGAATTGATTCCGACTTATAGCGACCCCCACTGGGTTTATGAGGCTGTAAATCTTTACGGAAGTAGATCGCCCCATTTCCAGGTACAAAAGGCCAAATATTATATGATCCCATTTATATAAAATATGCAGAATAGAGAAAGAAGGCAGAGCGTACTCTGTCTCATAAGGTTGCTAAAAGTTGGAATCGACTCCATGGCAATGAGTTATAGGAAAAAGAAAAGAACAAAACAACCAACAATTAATAACACTACAAAAATCATAAAGTTGTGCCTTGATGGTGTCAATGACAGCCACATTCAGACTTGGCACAAGTGATTTAACACGTGTTCTTGGACCATTTTCACACTTTCACAAGGAACCCTGGAGAGAGTTAGCCCTGGGACAGCTGGTGACCCAAACAATGTTTGCACATGACTTGGGCCAGCAGGGCTGGGTTTGGAGAATCTGGTGTGTGTCTGTATGCTACAGAGATGGTGCCAAGAGCTTTTGTTCCTTTCCTTAGAAAACTAAGTAAGAGTAATAAAATAAGTACACTTCCATGTTAAAAACTCCTGATGCTTTCTCCATATCCGAATCTGTTTAGGATGTTAGGAGTAGAAGCAGTGTGCAGGCTCCTGGGTAATTTTGCCTCTGATTCATATAGAGCACTTCTCTAAAATGACCCCTTAGAGACCTTACTTGTGCAAAGTTTATTCCTTGTTATTGTTAGCTGCTGTTGAGTCAGCCCCTGGCTCAATGCGACTCCAAGCACAACATAACAAAACGCTGCCTGGTCCTGCACCATCACCTAAATTGGTTGCAGATCTGACCCTTGTGAACCACAGGGTTTTCGCTGGCTGATTTTCATGGGTAAATTGCTAGGTCTTTCTTCCCAGTGCATCTTGGTCGGGAAGCTCCACCAAACCCTGTTCTGCATCATACCAACATGCAAGGCTCCACTGACATGGAAGGTGAGAATTCCACCACTGTACCCTCACAGCCCCAGCGGTTCCTAAAGGGGCAGCATATCCTCTATACTGACCATTTCAAAAAGAAATAAAATAAGTTAAGAAAATAAATTGAGGTTGAAAAGTGAGTTGGATGAATATAATTGCCTGTTGGGATCAGAATGAAGAATGTAATAGGATTTTTTTTTTTTTTAATTTTATTTTGATTTGGGTGAAGATTTACAGAGTAAATTCACTTTTCATACAGCAGTTCACATATACTTTGTCTCATGTCATTGACCAAAATTTAC